TCTTCTTCTTCAAGTCTTGGTGCCTTGAACTTCCGGCATGGACTAGCTTCTTATGTATTTTTTAGCTTTTAGAACACTCTTAGTTTAGTCATTTGATCGTAGATGTTCTTGTGATGATGACTTCCAGATTTTGGGGAATAATAAATGTTGAATTTTAGAAGTTAATGAATTGGTCTTTATTTAATGAGTTTAAGTCTTCCGCATTACCTTCTGTTGATATTATATTGAAATGTTAAGGTTAGATTGGTTGGTTCGCTCACATAGGAGGGTAAGTGTGGGTGCCAGTCGCAACCCGGATTTGGGTCGTGACATTTAATTTTTTAAGCTGTGAAGTCAGATGATTTATATTATTTTTACATCATTTTCAAATAATATATGTTGTTTTATCAATATTCAAAAAATTGATTTTATATAAAATTAGATATTTTATAATTATACAGAAATTAATTTAATAATATAATATGATAGATTTAAAATAACTATCAAAACAAATGTGATATTTAAAACCATCCAAATAAGGAGTTACTACAACGATCCGAACCGTTTTAATTACACCTCGTGTGGAGTCTCAATTAAAATTTTCAAATGCCGGTGCCAAATAAAATTTTTTGACACACAACAAAATTATTAAATTTGAAAGTATCCGGGATAACGTCATCCCCCCCCCCATATATAGTGGAATGTCATCCCCTATGGCACCACTATAAAGCTTGCAAGAACACTATAGCAATATTTACGGAATTAGACCCTATATAAAATGATGTCTTTTCTTATTTTTTTTTATTTTTGGGACAAAACAAATAAGGGTTACTAAAATATTCTCTTAAGCAACTTTAAGCTCGAGGACGATGGAAGAAAGGAGATTTCATGCAACGAAAGGCAAGACCCAACGACTTTCGGTCCATGCTTGTTAGAATTCTTCCAAAGGGGAAAATTGATGCATTAAAAATTCTTGAGCAGCTGTTTGACACCCAAGCAAGCTAAACTTTCTTAACTAAGTGGTTAGATTTGTATTAATCCATGTAGTTTCTTGTAGCCTATCAAAAGTTTCATGGTTAAACCTTCAAAGAGGGAGTCTAATGGATGTATGTATGGTTAGTTGTGGTTAGACAGATGATCGACATTTTCAACATTGTTGACTTTTTGATGATTGCCGAGTGTATTCTGAGAAAGAAAATTGTGGGTATGCACTGACACAAAGAAACAAACGCACACACTATATATATGATTGAGTTAGGTGGGGTGCCACACTGATACATATGTTGTGGTGTATGTTGGTCTCTGAAGGTTTGGGTTGGTATGTTTATGTCATGCCCTGAACCTACACCTTAGACGTGGCAGATACTCTAGAATAATTTTTGATCTGCAAACAAACCCTTAACCTGACTGACTAATTAACGGAAAACTCACTCAAGCAAAAATAAGCTTGAGTTTAACTCATATATATTAAATAGACGGCAACACCCTGTAACTAGAAAGAAATTCAAAATTGGAAATAGTCATTTTTGAAAAGAATATAGAAATCTGGAAATTTTTTGTGTGTTAAAGTTGAGCTTTTGGTTAACTTCAAACGACCATAATTTCTAGCTAAGGATGATTTGAGTGTATTTCCAAATATTGTAGGAAAGATCATGGAAAAATCTTTCCAACGTCGTTAATTTTGTGCGATTCTAAGTTTGTATGAGTAAGATATGCCCATTGAAAGTTGGGTTGTTGAAATAAGGAAATAACCAATCCGGATTTTAAAAGGGCATTATGGTCTTTTCCTTATCCAATTATTTTATTTCATTTTTGGGTAATTGATTGGGGTCTAAATGATCTTAGTCATGTTACACTTTTGGAAAGAGAGTGAGAATTTGAGAAAAGAGAAAAAAAGAGGAGAAAGGACGAAAATAAGCAGGAATCGTCAATATCTTCAGGAATCGCTTGTAGATTTCGTCAAGAGGTGATCCCTACAAGGTATGTGAGGTCACACAGTGTTGGGTTCGTTCACCATGTGCCAAACATTTTTAATTTAGCTTGAATTCATTCTAAAAATTTGAAGTTTGAATGTTCTTGATGTGTGTTCTTGAATTTACTTTTATTCTCAAATTTGAGATGATATTGAGGAATTCTTGGGAGTTTAAGGTCAATTTTAGTTTGTTTTTTTTAAGTTAGATTTTTTTTGGGTACATTTCTTGGGAGTTTAAGGTCAATTTTAGTTTGTTTTTTTTAAGTTAGATTTTTTTTGGGTACATTTCTTGGGTATTTGAATATAAAGAGAAATTGAGAAAAAGAATCGAATTTAGGCAAATTGGGATTAGAAAACGAAAATGGAACAAGTCGACATAATCTGAGTACCAGGTTCGTACCCCAGATTTGAAATTTCCCTTAGCGTCGTATCACGGTCAAAGACCGTTATGCCTCAAAATTTATTTTGCGACCAAAAATTAAAATACATCTCTGCTTTGCTGACAGCATTTAAACAATGTTTTCTTGATATTTTATCATGTTTAACTCTCTAATAACACTCCTAAACATCATGAGATCCTTCATGTCACAAATCTCAATCCTTGAATCCATTATTCAATTGAAGGATCAAATAAGAGTCCAGTCAAGAAAAATTCATAGATCCTTCCAAAAGTCTTTTACAAATGATTTAACTTTGTTTTGAAGACTTGAGTTTTGAGTTAAAAAAAAGGAAAATTGAAGTTCATTTCTTTAAGAGAAAATGGTATAAAACTCCCCCAACCTATACCCCAAATTCAACCTACACTCCAACTTCAAGGGTGTTCCATTACCCACCTGAACTGTATATTTCTCTATTTTCTACACACCTAAGTGCTGAACAGTCATGGGAGGTGTTCTCACCGTCTCTAGGTGCGTTTTAAGCAGAAATTCAACGAAAAATTCCTCCTTCTCCAACAGTCATGTTCCCCACCTTTAAATAACCCATTGTTTCTTCTTCCCCACCATTAATCCTTGTTTTTTTTGTTAAAAATTCACGATTTTCTCTCAAAATTAAGTAAGATTTAATTTTTAAAGTTCATTTTTACTTCAAATCTTTAATTTAGGGTTTATAATCTGCTGTGATTTCTTATTTTGGTCTCCAGTTAGAATTTTGAATTTTCTCAAAATTCATTAAAAATGACAAAACAAAACTGGAATAGGCTTTGTATGGATGAACCAGACCCAATGCTAAACGCTGTAGTGAGATGCAAACACAGAATTTTGCTGAATTTATAAACTTCTTGGTCGAAATTAAATTTGGAAAAATGATTTTGGTCTTGCCCATGTTATGGTGTATGTGTTTTTCTCTTGTATTCTTGCTGCACTTTATATTGAACGATGCTAATGTACTATTTTGGATTATTTTCATTTTAAAAATTGTAAATTTTTCAATGGAGGGACAAAGAAGAAATGGATCCAAGATCAAGTTTTATCCTTCCAAGATTGGTGAACAAAATCAATGAGTTGGTGCAACAATTATGTATTAGACAGGTTCATATTGATAACTTGAGTAACTGTAATTTGTTATTGGAGAGGAGACTCAATAGAAGGTTGAAAGGGTGTAGGCTTAATAGAAAGATACTTTTGTGTATTTTGATTTGTGTTTTTGCTATGTTCATCATCAACCGATAGTTCTGCATATTTGGTCTTCCTTTTGATTTGTTGTTGTTATGAATTGTCAATGTATGTGTGTCATTTTGTATCTATGATGTCAATTGAAGCTTCAATTAATATGCAACACTTCATCAACAACCAACAAACTAATCATCCATTCTTACTTCAGCACAGACAACACAATATCATTTGTAAAACACATAATCAACACAACATATATAAGCACACCTGAATAGCCAATACAGTTCGATAGACAACACAACAACCATTTTAAAAACCAACATCACCATTCATTCATAAGGCCCTCACATAAGATAACATTTACCAAATACCAAAATAAAGTCATGTTCATAAGGCCTCATAAGACAATATTTACCAACAAAAATCCAAAATCGAAGGAAATTAACTTAAAGTGCTTAAATACATCAATATCATTGCATTTTTCATGGCATCTTTGACTGTGAAGAAGTGTCATTTCAACTTGAACTACTTCCCATTGTCTTGTTTTTTTGATTCTCTTTAAGCTCATGAAGCTTGCTTGTTGAGATTGCTGCTTTAACATTCCATTTCAGCTTAGTTGTATTACTTGGAGTAGAACGAATGTCACCAGTTACATCAGATGATCTTGTCACTATTTCTTATCAAGTTGAGTATATCTTGCTACTTGGCATGCTAGTCTATAGTAAAATTTGGACAGTATCAATATTTAAAGTGTTAAATTAAACAAAATTAGGATTATAATTCAATGTTTAAGATGTTAACATAAAACAAAGACTCACATTCATGACTTTGAAGCTATTTGCAGCTCGGAACACACCCATTTGTAGCTTGGAACACACCCATTCCATGACTCTTGGTATTTCTCTGGAGATGTGTTTCCCCTGCCCCTACCTCTTCCTCTTTTAGTAGTACCAGCTAATGAAGATGATGCATGATAAGTAGGAGGAGCAGAAACGGATGCATGAAAATTAGTAGGTGCAATAGGTAGGGGAGGTGCACTAGGTGCTACTGATGATGCTTTTTTGGGTCTTTCTAGTGTTTTCTATACATATAAGATAAAAAGTAAGTCATAAAGTAAGAAAAACTAAAACAAGGTCAGATATTACCTTTGGTTTGACTCTTCCCTTGCCTGAACCTGTTGGTTTTTCCCTTGCTGATGCAGTAGGTGATGGGTGTACTTTGTCTTGTTGATGATTCAACACCTTCTCTTTGAGGACACCCTCTCTTGTTATGGCCTATAACACCACTATATTGCATGTCAATGCAAGTCCAATCCTAGTAAGTTTCCCATATTTCTTAGATTCTCTAGCTTCTTTCCTTCTAGCCTTAGGTGGCCTACCAGGCATGTTTTTCATATCTGATGGCTCAATAGTGGGGTTTGTAGAAACTGCCCACATTTTCATGTTTGTGAGTGGTTCATAACATTAACATAATTCCTCGAGTAAATTTCCTTACGGTAGCAGTTTTCTATTTAGTCATAAAGAGAAATCTTCTTAAAGTATAATGCAGCCACAACATACGCACATGGTATGCCCCTTAACTACACACCCTTCAACTACATGTTCTCTTAGTAATATCCACTTTGTGTTGACTAATCCCTTCTTTCACTTCAAATCCAGCAGCTCCATTAAATTCAATGGTACAATCCATAGACTTACTAATGTTCTACTCTAAAACCTTCAAAGACATTGAAGACAATTACACTTCAAGTACTCGGAAACTCCCTTAAACTGCCTATTCTTGTCATCATCTTCACTCTTATTTCTTCAAGCATAGTAATTATGGTCTTGTGTATCCAATATCCATGAATTAAAACACTCAGATATGTTGTTTTCTACAGAGTCACACTCTACTTCATTATTGTAGTAAACTTTGCACCAAAATTAATGTTGTAGTACATTAAGTTATTCATCATTTTTTCTGGACCTAATAGCTTCATTTTCTCTATGTTGTTCCTTAATTGAGACTCAAATGTACTCTTATCCATCTTCCAAAATTGTTGTTTTCTTTGACGACCCCTCCAATCCTTAGCCCAATTAGCTAATATGTGCCTAACACATATTCTATGTTCACAATTAGGTAGTACATTTGTAGTTGCTATGACATTCCCTGCAATAGATGATGATTATTTCATAATTACATATATAAATTGAAAATTACAAAATATAATTTCATATACCTTTTCCATGTCTTTAATCAAAGTGAGACATTCATCATCTCCAAGTCCCAAATCATCCCTTATGCACTTGACAAACATAGTCCATGTGTGTTTGTTATTCTTTTTAACTACTGCCCAAGCAAGTGGCAACATCTCTGGCCACAACAATTAACAGTTGGCCTTTATAAACCCCTTTAAGGAAACAACTATCTAAGCTCACGCCCTTTCTACAATGTATCCATGCCTACTTTAAATCATCAAACAAATGTAAAAACTCTGAAATATTGATTTGCCTTTTGCATCAGGTTCACCAACTTTTACAACACAACTGGTCCCTGGATTGGTCCTCTAACAATTCAACCTTGTAGTCAAGTATCCTTCCAAATTTCACAACATGATCACCCATTATATCTTTCATCACTTTAGCTCTTGCACTTCTCACAATATTCTTGCCCACATGAAGTTTAAACTTTTTCCTAATCAACTTCTGCGAATTGAAGACTCTTATGTTTGGTTGCTCAGTTATTCTTTATCTAAAGACTTTAGATAAAAACTTTGCATTGCACAAGTAATTTTGGTTGTCTTGTTGCAAGCATGCTTTTGATTTTAAGTTTTTATCATGAAATTATTTGTTGTCTTGTCAAGACATCCATACAAAAGCCACAGTCAACCATCTTTGCATCTAAATCTAACTTTATTTGGCTCATTCACCCACTTCTCCACTTGAACCCTCCTTCTAACTGCATATTTGGTTACTGCTTGTCTAAATTCTTTCACATTTTTAAACACCATGCCCAACTGCCACACAACTTTCTTTTGCAGTAGGATCATGAATGATTTTTTGAGGTTTTGAACTTCTCTTTCTTGAAAACTTTACCCTTCTTGATCTACAAGACTCATGTTCATCATTATTACAAAACTCATATTCCTTTAACTCAAAACTACCCTCATCAAAACTTGAAAAGTAAGGCTTATCACCTCCTAGCATTCCTTCATGACTTACTTTACCTGTTCAAGTTTCATCAAAACCTAGATCTGATCCAGCTTCACCTACTGGTACCTCTTCATTATTAGCAACTACTCTTTCCCTTCTTTTCCTCTTTTGAAAACTTCTCTTTTCAACGCTCAACTCCCTAACTCCTCATGTACATCACTACCATACTCTTCCTCATCATCATCTCCAACTAATTCAGCTTTAGACTTAACAGTATCCTCAGTTGAATAATCAGAACCCTCTACTTCTTCTTCTGAGAAATCATGTCCAACAGGACCAACATCTATTTCATCATCAGTAGCACCATCTGCAGTATTAGTATTGAAAGGAGGTGTGGTAATCGAAGGAGGTTTGGTAGTGAAAGGATGTGAGGTTAAAAAAGTAGAAAAAGGGTCCTCACTATTTAAATGGTCTTCACCTACCCCAAAATTAAAGTTTTCACTTTCACGGGCCTTATATTAAAAGCTGCACCAGATTCTCTCAATCCACATGACCGCCATTTTCTATTAACATGGGGCCAATAATTACCTCATCAACTGAATGCCGAACAAATACCTCCACTTCATCCCCATCTTCCAAGGAACACATCATGTCTAAAGGTGCTTTAATACTAAAGGTGCAAGTTGTAGTATATCCTAATTCTCTAATATAGTCTTTCAACTCAAAATATGACATTTTATCTACATCAACATCCAAAAATTCTGTAAATTTTCCACTATTATATATTGGATCCCCACTACTTAAAGCTAACACTCCACCATGATACCACCTTAGAGTAATCAAAGTAAACCGACTCATCACTTACGTGAAGGCAATAAAAAACAAAGTAGTAATTATAGAATTAATCTAATCTAAGGGCAATCCAAAAAATAGAACAGTATTTAAAAACGAACACTATACAACATAGTAGGAAATGAACAAAATGCAACATAGTACTTAGCATCTCTATGAAAAAAATATATGAACATAAATACAACACAATAGCAAACTAGCAGCTTCTCTATGAGAATAATACTAAGAAGAACATAAATAGAACACTCGATGAACATAATACTAAGATGAACAAAGTACAAAATTACGTGACTTAGACGAGAAAGGAAAAATCAAATTACATGAAAAATTTGTTATAATCTGGTGTAAATGAACACCTAACACTATAATCATAAGCCACATATAAGATTTCACACAATATTGCTCTTAATTACATGAATCAATAAAAACCCTAGGGGATACATCACAAACTCGAAATTAAGGGATAAAGAACTAACCTTTTACTAAATTAGTTGATAAACTACGAAATGGAGTTGATAATACACAACAAAGTCATTCGATGATGCAAAATCTTTTGATGATTACCATAAATGGAGAAGGAGATTGAACATGAGAAAAGAGGGTTTTGGATATTTCTTTGTTCTTTTATAGTTTAGGAGGGAAATGGGTGAAAACAAGAAATGGGAGAAAAACATGGCACGGGAGTTTAAAGGCGAGGGACCCAGCGCGTGAAATCACACAAGATGATTTATTTGGTTTATGTGTTGAGGTCAGCACTTAGGTGTGTAGAAAATAGGTAAATATATAGTTCATGTGGGTAATGGGACACCCGTGAAGTTGGAGTGTGCAGTTTGAGATTTCAGGTATAGGTTGAGGGATTTTTGGACCATTTTTTCTTTCTTTAAAAGTATATGGGGACTATGTATTTCCAAAGAGTTTAAATGTTTTTACATTTAAATAAGAACGGAAATTGAGATTTCCAAAGAGACTTTGATCTAGTTTTTAGAAAAGAGTAAATACTTTCACAATTAAGCAAGAGGGGAAACTTTGATTTCCAAGATAGCCTTACAACTATGTTTTTTTAGAAACTATGTCAATTCACATAAAGAAGTATGTTTTTCAACATAAGAGCTAGATCATATTTTGGGAGTAGTATTGAGCACCGATATGGGGGTAGTTGAGAAAACTCACAGCCTCCATAAACCATGTAGCCACTATAGGTAGAAAAAAGTAATACTTTGATGAATCCACTAAGTATTTTAGTATCTATACCCTCTGCAAGGTACAGGAAGACCCTGTCAACGTGAGGCAAAGCTTTGTACCAACACAATAGCGCTCTTAAGTGATGGTTGTTAGTTAGAGAGACTCCCACATAAGTCATTATATTCTTATATACACAGTTATTTGTATTTTTACGTACATTTCAGAGTTATATGTATCTTTGCATATGCACAAAGTTGATATCATGTTTTAAACATCTTTTATTTATTTTGCACTTGTTTTAAACTGATTTATATTAGAATGATTTCAGTTATGTTGAGTTGAATCGGGCCAGGTAAGTTCTTCAGTTCCTTTCAACTTTATGTCTTATTTTAGAATTTCCCTCGCATACTCGTACATTCAATATATTGATGCCTTATTTGGATGAATCTTATTATGATGCAAACACAAGTAACCAGGATCAGCATCCGGCGCATAGTTGATCTAGTTGAGCACTCATAGTCTTGTGGTGAGTCTCCTTTCTTCCGGAGGATCCCGTTAATTTCTTTCAGTTTTATTTTTAGTTCATTATGATGTCGTGGGCCTGTATCAACATCCATTTAGTTGTTTAGAGGCTTCATATACAAACAATTAGTTAATTAATTATTCATTTGTCACTACTTTATTACTGACTTATGTTTTGATACGTGAGTTCTCATCTTGGCTAGTTCGAATGTTTGTTTTAAGACATTCTAAGTTTCTTTCACAAGTTCATTTAGATTGTTTCTTGTATTTAAGTCTTCCACAAAGTAATTCAGCCAAACCAAGGGTTCACTTGGGGACAACAATGATTCTTGAGTGCCAGTCATGCCCAGGGTGTGGGCTCGGGGCATGACATAGACCCAACTTAAAGACTGAAAGTGACTAATGTTATAAATAAAATAGGTTGCATAACATCTCAAAATAAAAAGGAAAATACTAAGAGACTCTTCAACTCTAACTATCTACGAAGCCTCTACTACAAGGATAGATATCGGAAACAGACCCATGAAACTTCACTGGGCGTATAGCTCCACAGTCCGTGAAAAAGTTCATTGGTCTTATAGCCATCCGTGAAACTTAGACTATCAGACAAGGCTCAACTAAAACGGGCATACCTTTTTACTACAAACTAAAAATCAGAAAAACTTGGTGACGTTGGAAAGAGGACTAAAAGAAATTTAATTTAATAGGTCATGGACCCCAAATTCATTTTATCCGAAAAGATATGATAATTTGAAGTTGACTCAAACCTTAAAACCTGATGAAGTCCCTTTCATAAGGACTTCACGGTTTGTACAAAGCTTCACAAACCATCTAAGTGTTTGTGAACCTTCCTGAGTTTTAGGTTTTCAATTTTAGAGGTTAGGTGACGGGTCGTGGACCTCTTCATAGCCTGTGAACATTTTGAAAAAAGACCTTCATATTCACCCTTGACCATGGTTCATTGTACGATCTGTTATACCTTGTATAGACCGTACAACCTTCCGTGCACATGCATATGTACTCAATTGAAGACTTTTTCTCTTTTCCATTTTAAGTTTCAATTTTTAAGGTGTTATAGTTTAAACACCAGGTAGTTTCCTTGTGTGGTTCGAGATGACGTGTTAGATGTTGTAGGTGACCATTTATGAAAGTTTTGCCTAATCTATACTGATTAGATTATGCTACTTGGCGTAGTGTGGCTGCATGATACAATGATGTTTCATAGGTGGAGGCGATGATAATATTCGACAACTTCTACATTTTCCTAATGATGAGAGTTGTGTCATATTTTGTCTAATAATATGTATCTCCGTAGTCGCGTTGTACCTATTTAAACTAAGAGCCCATTTGGATTGACTTAAAAGTTGGTCAAACCTACTTTTAAGGCAGTTTTTGACTTTTGGAAGTGTTTGACAAATATAAAAGATAACATAAAATAAGTCAAAAATGACTTAAAATAAGTTAGGAAGTGTTTGACAAGGTAAAAAATAACTTGTAATAAGTGTAAAATAACTTAAAATAAGTCAGAAACCAAAAGTAAGTCTTCCCCTAGTTTTTATTTTTTGACTTAAGAGTCATTTCAATTTGATTTTTTTTTACTTAAAAGTTATTTTTTTAGTCAATCCAAACGGACTCTAATTCCTTGAAAATATTTTTCGGCTAT